TTAAATAAAAGCATCAATAGAGAAAATGGTGTAGAACACAGGTGGGAAAAACTGGAAGGCTTTATTTGGATTCACAGGATATATAATCATACATTTTAGATGAAACACGTTTAAATAATCAGCTGCCAAAAGCCTGTAGGAGGCAAACCTCTCTGCAGACCTCACTATTTAACAATCCCCAGGTGTCCACAAGCTGAGTAAATTCACTGCTACCCTGTTTCTACAGAAACCTGAAATCATATACCCCTTTCAAACTGGCCGAAAAACCTAATTGAAGCGGGTCTAACCCGGGTCAAAGACTCAACAAGCAACCAGGATTAAAATTGACTCGGCTCTGATCGGCATGCTGTGGGAAAAACCAGACCCGGTTTGACCTGCTGATTTTCATGATACCATTTAGCGCAACGTAAGGACCTCAACACACCACGCCAGCCATGTCTAATCTAACAAGCCAAAATAACTCTGTTTACATTCAATAAACATGGAGCAGCACTGTTGGGAGGGATTCAGACAGATAAAAGAGCATCCATGTTGCTCTCCATTATTAACTTCCCTGATTCCCATCGCACTGTCGACATCATGAAAGCTCACTCAGCGTGATGCCATCATCAGACACACAGTGGTGGGGGACAGTGGCGTGCTAGCAAGGAGTCAGACTCTGCTTTTTGGTGAAATGGGGAAAAAAGAGCCAAAAGCCTATTGTTAGCGGGTCAAAAAACATTGTTTAAAGTGGGAAAGCTGCTATAGACTTTAGATTGCTTACCCTTTTCCAGAAATGTTCTATCTATTGAATTGCAATGTGGTTCCAGTGGAATGAGTGGAAAAGTTTATCGGCTTTATGACCTTTCTATGAAGCCAGCAATGACTTCCTTAGACTGTTTGGTCTCCAAACACAGAATCCATCCTAGTGTTATTTTCAAATCCTTATCAGAAATGTGTCTCCCTTCGTTTAGCGGAAGACTGTGAGAACCATATGTCGGATTTCTGTCCTATTAGAGGTCCTAGGAATAAACATTCATGAATGCTTAGAATGTACTTTTACAATTAGATAAAGCTTTCTATTTTATTATGAACTCCTAAAATAAAAAATAACCTACACTGATGAATATTTTAAAATTTATTTTGACTAGTTGAGCAAAAAAAAAAAACCTGTATAATCTTAACCCCTTCTGGTTTTACTCTTCTTCTTTCCCTAATCTCTGCTCTTAGCATTCTTTCTCTCCCTCAAGTACTTGCCCGCCGCAGCTTTATTTACACACACAAACACCCTCACACAGATTTAGGGCCTCATTATGCAGGAATGTGCAGTATTTCTTTAGATTGTGTGTGAGTGTGGATGCTGAACTTTAGCCAAAGAAAAGATAACGTTCTCTTAGAACTTGTCTGACTGTTTCCTCTGGCTAATGGCACTTGAATCTTATCAAAACCCACCAGTGACTCCCACCGACCTTCCTCACACGTTTGCCCATAAGCCACACCACCTTATGTTATCAAGGTTGGGAGCAACAGTGTCAATATATTTATTCTAAAGTTTTTCCCACAACTTGCTGCAAGTCACACCCCATCTGTTAAGGTGGATGCTCTGGTTGTCAAGCTTAGAGGGTTAAGAGCAGAATACAGCAGCTCATGGGTGTAGGATGTGACACTTCATGTGTGATTTAAAGAAGGCCAGATGGAAAACAAAGAGATAAATGTGTGAAGTTTCACACCTGGCTGGAAACCTCACATTAACCTGCTTTATCTGCTTAGATCACTACCTGAAGCTTATATGTGTCTGTTGTGTGTTTTGCAGTCAAGGTGATGCAGTTCAACAGAGAGCGAGCTGCGCCGGACGTGAGCCAAGAGGAACACTCGCACACCTACACTGTAACAAGCTTGGCCACTGAGACCGGCTTCAGGTGTGCCAACGCATAGATTAAACCCACAGAAAAATTATCTGCCAGTGTCGGGATTATTTCCCTGCAAACTTTTAGATTTCTCCAAGATTCAACACAAAGATTTAGATGTCGAAGGTTAAGACCAAGAGGAATCAGATTTTATTTCAGTTTCAATATAACTTATGAGCTGAAACACTACAGATTACCCATATTATATTAAGAACAGATGAATTAGAGGGAGGCTCTCCAAAGATGTTCCTCAGATGTTGGGAACTAAGGTGTAAGGAATCAAAAGAATGAATTGTCAACTGCTGGGCTGCTGGCTGGACCTCAGCAGAGAGCCATGAGCCTCCCGTGCTCAGCCGGAGGAGGGGGGCTGGGGGCCGGTAAGGCAGGAGGGAGGAAAGCATTGGGCTGCCTGTGTCCAGGCTACCGTGACCGGGTCGGGTTCGGTCGCTCCGTCCTCCCGCTGGCTCCCTGCCCGCTGGGCTTCCCGGACCAGCCCCGGAGCTCCGGCTCAGTTCGAGTGCCTGGTGTGTTTCGAAACATTAATTTCGAAACACACCTACAATTTTCTAGGTAGGAAAAGTAGGACATATCCTGCAAAAAGAGGACGTCTGGTCACCCTACCATATCAACAGTTTCGATGTTTCAGTGAGTGAGTGCTTGTTGCTATGATGCGTCTTTGCTCAGCAGCTTCGCTTGTTGTAAACCAACCAATCAGCGCACAGCTCATATAAATATTCATGATCATACCATAAAAGGAAGAAAACCTGTCGTTTCATTCTAGGGCTTTTAGCCAGGCTTGCATTAGGGCTCATAGAACAGCAAATATGCAATGTTTAGCCCAACCAATGTTACACACTCTATTCAGAGACCTTAAGGACCAGCACCAAATACCCCATATAATCATTCTGTGACCCCTTTAAATTTATCTTTTTTTAGAAATCTGGCATTTTAATGGGAATATTTGGATCTACTTGAGATGATTACACTGAAACAATTGATCATATCAATTTTGATTAATGACTTATTGAAATAATCTTTATTTATCGATTAATCATTAACTGGAGTACAGAGACTCTGAAACACGGCTTTAGCTGAAAGAGCAACCCACTTACAGCAGTAATTATACCAAGATTGTGCGGGGGGAAAAAAATGTAGCATTTAAGATAAAAAATAAACTTTTTCCACTCAACGAGTTCCCGATAGAGCATATTGACGGATAAAATGTTATTTTCCCCTGTCTTAATTCAGTAGAATATCTCCATTAAGGAAGCTTTTGATATCTGGTGGTTAATAAAAAAAAGAAATCAACAGATTAATCAGTTAGAAAAATAATCGGTAGTTGCAGCACCAGAGTTGATATATTCTGCAAAAAAACTTAACCAGCCTACTTAGAGAGGGAATCTGGTGGCTATGAAATGCAATAGAGTAATATTATAATTTTTTGTTTTTTTCTTCATTTGACCAGCATTTTGTTATTGAACATTTTTATGTCTTTACCTATTTACCCTTCCTGTGTAAAGGGCCTCTATAATAGATTATATTATTATAGTGATGGTGTAAATATCTAAAAATATGTTAAACAGGTATGTTTAAAGGAAAAGTCTGGTCAGCAAGGAATAACCTATGGGTCATTATCTATACCTAAAGATAATACATTCGCAATGATTCAATGAATTTAATGAATTTAGCTTTCCCTTTTTAATAAGTACAAAAATAAAGACAACAATTTTCGTTGTGATAACTGAGTCCGGGACCGGACATTTTTGCCCAAATATAGTAACACCTCATTCCTGAGATCTTCAGGCAGTGACGTCACGGTGCAGTAAGCATAGAGCCATTCTCCCCGCTTTACAAGCAAAATCAATTGAAGCTACTGGACACATCTGCAATCAACAACAATTAAGATTTCCAGAGGACTTCCCCATTGAAATTCACTGGAGCTATAGTTAATCTGACAATGTCCATGTGCATGGCAGTTGGATGTTGGAATACATCGGGCAAAAGTGAAAAGAAAAAGTCATTTCACCTTTCCAATTCATGATCCACCACGGGTTTGTCGCTGGATTGCCAACTTGAAAAGGGAGGATTTGCCATTGAACTTCTGGCCAGAGAAAAACACGTAATTTGTAGCCAACATTTCAAAGAGGAATGTTTTCAAGATGATGTTAATAATAGCGCGTTGTGACAAACACCAGATACAGCACTGGGACTTGCTCAACAGCCGATACCGCACCGTGACGTCACAAACCGGTAGGTGGCAGTTGTGTTCTTTGAAAAACATGGACGCCTCCAGTGAAGCACTTTCAAATTAAATTGCTCTTAATTACAACCCTTATCGTTTATTGAACAATATATAATAATTTCATATTTAAAGTACTTTCAGAGGTTTCTATTCTGAATGTGACCGGACTTCTTCTTTAAAAAGGGTCTAGGCTGCCTGTTATTAAACCCCAGTTAGATCTCATTTGTTAATCGAAACCTTGAAAAACTGCAGACAAAATAGTATTCCAGCACCTGCAAGGACTATAACAGGTGTTCTGACAATTAAGATGAGAGTGGTTGTGAAAGAGCTGGACAGAAAAATGAGTAGAAAAGCCTTTCAAGTCCAAAGAAAAGCTGTCCAGCATTTGGTCACCATGAGCTCCCCCTGCTGACCAATCATCTGAGCCTCTCCTTCTCTTCCTTTTGTCACAGAGGCTCAAATAGTCTTGAGGAGGTGGTGGAGAAGCAGGCTGACCTGATAGAGTACCTGAAACAGCACAACGCATTGCTGAGCAAGAGGCTGCTCAACCTGACTGCTCAACACTAAGCTCACTCCTGCCTTTGCCTTTCATGTCAGCCAGCTGATGAAAGCCTCCAACACTCAGGAGAAAGATCAGTTTACTGCTCCAGTGGAAGACATGAGCAAATGCACCTGTTTACGCAGACTGAGCCGGCTCCGCAATGGCCTCCACACCTGAGATGGAGGAGGTGGTAGCTGAGACTGGAGGAGATTGTGAAGAGAATGGGAGGTAAAAGGGAGGAGGTGGAGTCATGGGTCACAGATCAGAGGTGACAGGGTTTTTATCACTGTGCTACAAGCTTCACTGACCCATGTATGCTTTAGCTTTGGTTCCTCTGAGAGAAAAAGAGCAGTAAAATCAACTGAACAAAGGACAGAGGGGTTATCATTTATCTGGGTCAAGCAAGTGGGGTTAATGTCCTGTTTTATCAGATTGTTTCTTACCCATTCATTCTGTTTCAATAAAATACTGATTTTCTTATTCATTTAGTCTTAACATGAACATTTATATCATTACAATCTCAAGTACCATGTTTTGATTTGCTGCTGTGGTTCATGTACTCTTTGTTAAATTCCCCTCATTGAGGCAGCCACTAGAAGCCGTGGAGTTTGCTCCCTGTTGTTCTTGTGATTCTGGCGTCCGTAACCCAACAGGGAGCTCGGCCTTTACGACTCTGTTCCCATGCTGCTCCAGCACAGATAGAAATGCAAATATCTTACAGGTGTTTAGTGCTTTTATTAGATAAAATAACAACTTTAAAATGCAGGCCTTTACCTTTTAATATTTTATGTTTAGTTGCCATGTTCAGTGCCTCTGAGTTGTTTCCATACTGTTTAAAACTGTTCAGAATTTCACTTGATAAAATCAGAAACTTAATTGTAGGTTAACAGGATTTTATGTGATAAATGCTATATGTGAAGATTTGTAAAGTTGAGAGATAATTATGGGTTTTCCTATTTAATTACTTTCTTAATAAAAATCTGAAAAGGGTAGCATGTAAAAGTATTCGTCCCTCTTTATTTTATCACACTCAAAATAATAATAGTGCAATTAACTACCCTCAGAAAGTGTTGTAAATAAAAAACCAGCACCTCTTTGTAACATGTTCTCAGGATAAATCTTCAACCTCTCTTCAACCTTCAATGCTCTTTAGAAACATTAGAGGTTGAAGATTCTTTCCCCAGCTTCTATTGCCATTACACAGCCCAAGGAAATGAACTTTCTGCATTTAACCCATCCCCTTGGGGAGCAGTGGGCTGCCATTGTGCGGTGCCCTGGGAGCAGTGTGGGGTTAAGGGTCTTGCTCAGGGAAATATTGTGAAAAGCTATCAACGAAGATCATCCTAAATAAAACATGAAACACGGTGATGGCAGCATCATGGTGTGGGATTTGTTTTTTTTATACAGAAGAATGTAAGAAAAAGCTGCTGCAGCAATTAGAAGACTTTAGAATCAGATGAGATTCATTTTCCAGGAGTAAAGTGAGAGCTATAGTGCAATCATTTACATCAAGAGATATTACTGTGTTTAAATGGTGCAGTCTAGGTCCAAGCCTAAATCCAATTGGGAATCTCTGAAAATTGATGTTCACAAAGCTTTCTACCTAATATGAATAAGTTTATGTTCATTTGTAAGAAAAATTTGTAAATATATCAGTCAAGATGTGCAAAATGGTAGAGACATTCCTCTACATCTCTAATTAAAAATAAAGTTGGTCATTTTAGTGTTTACTCTGTGCTTACCTGTCATTGTTGTTGAAATGTGAGAATATGAAAAAAAAATCAAAGAAGATGAATATCAGTGTTTTTCTATTTTACCTGAGCCACCGTCACCACCACAAACGCAAAGTAAGATTAATGTTACTCCTGTACAATTTTATTAAAAAACGGTTGAAATGTAAATCAAATAACAGCTGAAGTGCATACATTAAAAACACGTTAAAAGATTCATTGCGCTCTTTGGTCTGCAGCTTTTATCTCTGAACATTCTTTATAAATCTTCTCCCTCGGCGGCTCGCTCCCCTGCTTCTGAAATGTGATTAGAGGGCGGAGCTTTCAAGTCCATGCTCTCACATCTGTGACCACTGAGGTGTAATAATGTTTCATGGTTTAAACTTTGTCCTGATTGACAGTTCTCTGTCCTATTTGATGTGAGGTTGGCTTTGAAGTTCTCATTGCTGCCTTCCAGAGTCATTGCAGTCTTTGAGTGGGGCTTTCATGGAATCCCAGGTTTTTCTCTCCACCTCTTGTGTCCATCTGTCTTGACTCTGGGATCCATCCAGGGTGTTCAACCCACGCAGCCAGGAATCATAGCCATAGCTCACTCCTCAGGAGAGTTTTCACCTCCTACGATTAAAAAGACAAAAAATAAAACACTTTTACTGTCCTGCTGAGATGACTTCATCAACAAGTTCAAAACAAATGAACAGAAATCACCTGCAATGCTGCCCCTCCCCTCTCTGTCCTAACACCCCCTGCCATTAAAGCATTCCTGTTCATCATTACTAGGATTTATGTCTCAGCCTTTCCCTCCATGCTCCCTTGTTCTGCATGAACCTACAGCCCTGCTACTAATCACAGGCACCCTCTTAACTGCCACCTGCTTGTCCTGTAAACCTGGCTTTGTTCCATGCATCATACAGCTTGTAGCTCAGTTTATGGCCTCCATTCACACAGAAACGCATCCTACCTCAGGGGAAAGGGACCCTTGAGTGAAGAGGCATGCACCGTCTGTGTGGACAGTGGTGTCGGTGGTATTTCCTCCGCAGATTCAAGAAATCTGAAACAAAGACAGGTTACATTTAAGACATCAAGTCAAAACTATTTATAGAGAAAATGTGAAAACATGCCTTGAGTACAAATGATAAGTTAAGCATGATAGCTTCTAATTAATGTTATTTTTTTTATGTGAATGCTATAATTTTTAATCCTACTAATAACTTGACAGACATCTTGTTGATGAGCCTGCCAAGTGACTTATAGGGCCTCCTTTTGGCCCAAAAAAAAAGATTAATTTAAAATTAACCATAAAGAGAAGTTAGATAATTATTAAGTTTAAAAATGCCATAAGTTATCCTACTTTTTCCCGAAGCCAGTTTGAGAAAATTCAGTCTTTTCTTTCATTCCCCTTGGTATGAAAAAAAAAAGTTTTTCTAGCCAATCTTGTGTCAAAAAGTCTATGAACATTTAATGGATATTTTTCTCCTTCTCATTTCATTACGGATTTTTTTTCCCCTTATTACAACATCCCTACAAACTGGAAAATCATGTTTCTTATCCAATGTTGAGTCGAACAAGTTATTTTTTGTGTGCAAAGTAGCTAATAATTAAGTTGTTTTATCTTTATAGATTCTTTGGAATCTAAACAGGATTAAAAGTGAGGGTTGTTTTTGACAAGGAAAAAAAAAAGATTAAATTTGTCAAAAATATCCATGCTGGTCCAATTTTATTCCAGCCTAATTTCTGATAAATTTAGTAAAAAACTGTTCTGTTTCCTCTGGTAGTGCTGGGAGTTTGAGCATGCCATAAAATGAATCCCTCTGGAGCTCTTGCAACTGTTTTACTGTGTGGAGTAATTTAACAACACCTGGGACAAACTGGAAGAGAGACCTAACACCTGATTATTTTTAAACTTCCCCAATAAATCCACTTTAAGCCCCGTGGTTCACAGACTGCAAGAGGCAGAGCTCAGGAAGGAGATAAACGGCTGGATGACTTTACGACCCCCCCTCCCCGATCTGTTTCTAAAAGAAGCGCCTGAAGCCAAGGCTGCTGCTCCATGTCATGTTAATGGAGCTGGAGCATTTGCATGGAGTTTTAACACCGTGATTAACAAAAGCCCGCCGGAGTGCCTTCAAGCCCGGGGGGGAAACAAGAGGTCGTCCCCGTGGTATGGCCTGGCAGTCATCCCCTCCTTCCTCCAACCAACTCTGACCTCCATCATCATCACATGAGTTCCGATCACAACCTTATTCTCCTAAATACTCATAAATACATGGTTTTCCCGCGAAAAGATGAAAGAACTGCTCGAGATTTAATGAGAAAAAAAAATAAAATGATAAAATAATATGGGGGAAATTAATTAGAAATAGATTCGAGGGTTAGAATGATCTATAACTCTTCCAAGAGAAGTTCGTGCTGGGATGAATGTATCAGAATTCAAAGCGAAGGTGTTTTTTTAAATACGGCGCATATGATAACCAGGCGGATACGAACTTCAAACATGAAGGGAATTAATGTTTTCCCGCAGAAAATGTAACTGGCCCTCGCTTTGTTTTATTTATTATTTTATTATGTATTCACTTTTTTGTACTTTCAGTTTCACACAGCTATTTTGTTGAGATATTTGAAATTTAATTATCAGTTAGTACCTTGCTGAAGCCATTAATTTGGTTGCTAGGTTACCTGCCGTGGAACGGTCTATGCACAATAAGTAAAATATTAAGTAAGAAAGTTTCAATCAGTTTTTACTTTAAATGTTAACATTTGTATTTAAATGAATGTTTTCTCTTTTTTTTTTTTTTTACCCATTTATATCTGATATTCAAATTAAGCTTTTAGCTGTTTGATACTGTAGGATTACAAAGTAGATCAACAAAAAGCTAAAGACAGATTTAGTGTCCAGGTGAAGATTCTTACCTGGTCTGGCTGCAAACGCAGGTGCTACTAGAGCTGTAAGCAGCAGTAGCAGGTAAAACAAGTTAAAAACCTTCATGGTCAGGCAGCAGTTTTGATAATTTCCCAAAAGCTTGGAAACTTCCTCTGGTTCTGATTCCTGGATCCACTGATATTGCAGTGTCCTTCTTTTTTTCCCCCCCAACTGCTTTAGTCCTCCAAAGGGAGTAGATCCAGCAAAAAAGAGTCTCTCTTTCCCAGAACCTATCAGGAGATCCAAGAAGAGTCTTTAGATCCTGCAAACGTAGAGTTGTGTCCTTTCTTGGCAAAGTGGCAAAGGTGCATTCCCCCCATCTATTTTATACAGCCCATAAAAGGGAGGGGTGCACCCTGACTGCAGCCACCCCTCCATCTCTACTCTTGACACACACTCGCACTCTAGCACACACACTCAAGCACTGCACATATTGACCCCACATGTAGAGAGTAACTCTAGTGACAGGAAGCACCCCCTTGTTCCCTGCACCCTAACTGCTCAGTGCACAGCCTTGTGCTGCATTTTGCATGTGAGTGATTGATATATTCAAAGAGGGCGGAAGAGGCAGGCAGAGTGGATTTATCACCACTGGGGTTTAAGAAGCTGGAGCTGAAAGTAGCAGGTCCTTCATGAACCAGATCCCTCTGGTTCTCCCCTTCCCCCGCATTAATGAGGACACACATCTGGGGTGGGGTGGTGCAGTTTTTTTGTTGGGGGGGGTTGGCCTTTTGCATCGTTTTGGAGCCCAACTTAATGAAATTCAGAGATCTGTTGCACAACCCAATTAGCCAACGAAGACTAATGTCTGTCTGAGATGTTATCTAATGTCTCCGACTGTCTGCTGTTTGGAAAATTCTTGTGTTGGGATAGTTCAGTTGCTCCCAGTTTCTGCTGTTCCTTAAAAACAGGCTTACTTCATGTGATCCAGCAGACTGTTGTAATTTTATTTAGTTTATTTACAGTTCTGTTAAAAATACAATGCATTATCTCCTTTGGCTTTTTTAGTCCTGCTTGAGTGTTTTACATCAAAACATTTTCAATCTTACACAAAGATAAGCTGAAGAAATAGAAGATGGTGATGTTGTTCAGTTTGAAAAGTGAGCTAGAAACACAAATCTAGGTAAGAAAAAAAATGGAAAAGGTAACTGCTCCCCTCATAAGAAAATATAGCACATTAAGTTACATTTTCAAGTGAGACCCATACTGATTCCTGCCGTATCTCTAAGCAACATATTTTCCCCAACAGTAATCAATACAAGGCCAGATTAGAAACATATTCAACCTTGAATTAAATGAATTTAAGATTGTGGTCCAACTGTTTTATTTCTTTTCTCCCTGCTTTTATCTCCAACAGCTTTTATTTTCCATTTATTTATTTTTTATTTTGTCTTTGTACTGAATTGTGCTATGCAAATAAACTTGTCTTTCCTGTGAGAGCCATTAACCACAAATTTTGAACTTTACCAGGAGTTCAGCCTTCGAAAACTGCTCCAAGAATGCATTAAAGATCATCATGAAGGTGAAACAAAAACATCTGAAGCATTATTGCCTCCATGGGAGCAATGCAACCGCTTATCAAAAATACAACAAATGCCTTTTTAACATGGGAAACCATCTAAATCTAAAGTAGTAAAGTAGTAGTAAAGTAATTTTTTATTAAAATAAGTGCATTTGTTCTTGTATTGGGGAGGTAAGTGAGACCCTTTGCCTATGGAATAAGACAATTTACATTTAAAATAAGGAAAAAGAATTGCATTGTCTTATTTCAAGTGCATATTATCTAATTATCTTATTTATAGAGAAAAAATACTCATTCCATTGGCAAATCATCTTATCTACCTACTCAAATTAAGGGTAAATACAGTTAATTTAAGAAATGTTGACTTATTTCTAGATCGTTTTTCCAGTGCTCATTCTCACCAGGACTTTCGCAAAAATGTTACGTGACCAGAACCAAATGTTGGACTTTTTAGAGGATATGTAACATTGCATTGGGGTGTAAAGTCAGTAATAGCAACCTACCAACTGTAAAACATGGTTCTGGTCCATGGTTGCTTTGCTTTTCCAGGACCTAAACAACCTGCTGTGAATGAGATAACCATGAGTTCTGCTTTCTCACAGAGGTTCTGTAGAAAAAAAACATCCAGCCAACCTCATGCAATAATCCAAAAGCAACAGAGCTACCTCTAAACAGCTAAAAAAAAACCCAGTGTCTAACAAAATCCAGCTGTTTGTGTAGCCAGGTCAATGTTTGCACTTTGATCATTTTGAGATGACGTAGCATAACCTGTAACAGGCTGCTAAAACACAACATCCTCTGGTGTGACAAAAATGAGACAAAACAGTTCTGCACAGAAGAGTGGGACAAAATTTCAGGGATTTAAAACATTCCAGAGTTAAATGGGAGAGGCTGCTAACGATGGAGACACAACCAATTACCTTTAGAGGGAACTACATTTGGCAAGTTGATTCGATAACTTTTCCTCTTAAAAATGAAATCATGATCTAAAATGTTCTTTTTGGATTTCATTGCGTTATGTTTGTCAGATATTTTTAATTAGCTACTTGATCTTCAACATTGTGAAAACTATAGATTGGGGAATAGGTTTTCACAGGACCTAACATAGGCCCTATTACATCTAAAGCCATTTTTACAGGATAAACATTTCCAGATATATAAAATGAATGTGATGGCATATATAGATTAAAATAAATACAGTGCAAAGGACAATTACTGCCTGATCTTTTAAAAATATTAGATCAAAAATTCATAAATAATTTCCCCACTTAGAAATTGTTTGGCAAGATCACTGGAATAAATCTTCAACAAAGCCTTTCTCAGCCAGTGTTTTAGGTTGGAGGAATGGCAGAGGGATTTTATTTTGCTTTAATTCAGTGCCGTTTGTGTGGGGACTCATTATCGTGTCTGCTTACGACTGTCTCTGTGGACTGAGACTCACCATTCAGCACCCGGCTAATGAATTAACACATTAAGATGAAATGTCAGCCATTACATGTGAATGAGGATTAGAAAAGCAGCAGGACACTAATGGACCACATGGCTCATAACAGTCAGAGACTTTGAACAAGCATCTGGACCATCAACTCTCTTTGACGTCAAAAGTCAAACGACAAAGTTTGGATTTTGTTCTTGCTTAAATCGTGTTTTTTCTTATAAGCATGGTGTCTTTGTGTGAGGCCTCACTTTTATTGCTTTATTGTGTTTGCAAAAATGCATCCTGGAACGGCAGAGATTCCTCATGGTTTGGGTCAGTTCACACAGAGACAAACACTCATGTACATGTACTGATCCTGCTGCAAACACTCCGCTGAGGTATGTAGTTTGTGTCTTTGGCCATCTCTCTTTGCATATAAGCTGCCATTGTCTTTTAAAGAACTTTTATTTTCCCAATCTGAATATGCTAATTTGGCCTCAATTGTCATTCAGAGCCACCCGGTATTCACTGCCTTGGACCCACTGCCAGATCTCTGCTTCCCCAAGTCTCTCTCAGCTTCTGTCTGTCTGCTCTTCAAAACAGAATCGAGACAAACGTACAAAATTCTCCCACCAGGTTTTCTGTGTGAGCAATTAAAGCATGTTGTAATATTTGCTCTTCCTGGGGATTATACGCCTTTACGAGGATTACCCAGCCTGCTCAAACACCCTGCAACAGAGAGGCACAGCACAAAAGGAAGGGTAACCTTTCACAAAACCTTTTTTTGGGGGAGTTTGGTATGACTGCAATCTGAAGATAACATCACATTTTTCTTAAAAGGAACCTTAAGTGTATAAGATATATCTTTGGGTCATTAGGTCTTTTTCCAAACCTTCCATGCATCTACACTGGGAAAGGATAAGATCAGTCCAAAATGACCTCATCTAAACTTTGCTTACCTGAATTAGAATTACCTAAACCTGTCAAGCCAAATCCCCAAACGTTTTGTGTTATCTAAAAAAAAAACAAAACAAAATCGTAATGAAATCCTTAAAAAATACAGATTTTTTCTCTATTTTTTTTTCTTTCTTTTTTTTTTTTAGCAAATTATGTTAAACTCTTGGCAAAAATGTGTCATTACCCTTTAATTAAAAAAAACAAACCCTGTAACACTAACTGTATCATATTTGCTATTTTATTTTTGAGACTCTACATCTTTAGCAATATTTTTGTTGTTTAAAGACCTTACCTATACAATCAGACACCTGCAGTGAATAGAAAATCTATAATAAAATAAATGAGGATGCCTAATGTATCAGAAATTAAACATATAACTATTTTAGTTAATTTTTAAAATCTTTCAATGACAGCTTCAGTTAAAAAATACTTATCTGACAATTATTTCATGGTTTAGGCTCTACTGGGTTACCTTGGCATTAGAGTATATTTATTGCTAAAAGAGCTTAACTATTTTATGATCTCCATTTATAATCAAATGTACAAATTTTTAGTTCCAATAGGGAAGGTGAACTCTTGTGCTCCCTGTTGTTAGAATAGCAGCTTTGAGTTTCCAAGTCTCTCAGGAACCATAAGCTCAAATTCCAACAGAGGTGTCAAAAGTATTAATGTTTATTACTCCAGTAGAAGCATAAATCCTACTGTTTAAAACACTTATACTTAATTTTTTGAGTTTTATAACTAACAGTAACTGTGTCATATTTAACTTTGCATCATCTTGAAAAACTATTTATTTTGGTGCAGTACTGAGTCCAACAACAAAGAAATAAATTGTTGGGATAAGACAAATTAATTATTCAATTAGACAAATTATTCTGCAGTTTTTTTTTAATACCAAAATAACGAAAATGAGCTTAAATGAAACAAAATCAGTGAGTCTATTTTGAAAATCTAAGGAATAGAAAGTAAAGATAATGCAAAAAAATGTCAGTAGAATAAAAAGTTGTCTAAAAATTTATTACTCCAGTAAAGTATAGATACCCAAAATTTTTCTGAAGTAAGGGAACAAAGTATTTGTATTTTTTTATTTGTGGAGTGTGAAGTATAAGAGGAACTTATGGCTTTAGTAATAAATTGTACTACCGTTTGATGGCTTATGATGCAGTAAATCAATCACAGATATAGCACTGAGCATCCAGTGTTTTTGAATGTATAGCAACAGCCTTCCAAAATACAGCTGATAAAGGCTTATTGAGTACCTTTATTAGCTAACATAACCTGACTTGATACAGTTAGTGTCATGATCTTGGCATTGATGATGGGCCTGATTACTTATTTCATTCACCCTATTAGCTTAGCCCAGCATCTCATTACAATTAATCTGATCCACCTGCTTCAGTCTCTATTTAACCAGCATTTACACCAGTCATCAGTGCCAGACTATTCAAGCCTTTGGTGAGAGTTCTCTAGTGTACCTGCGTGTTTCCGATTACCCGTTCTGGGTGTGGACCTCTTAGCTGGCCTGCAAGCATTCTGATCTGTTTGCCTGATCTGTCTTGTGATTCCTGACACCATCCTGGATTTCCCTTTGGTACCTCTGCGCATCTCTGATTTTCTGGCCCGGACTCCAGGGCACTTTTTCGACACCGGCTTTGGCTACACCCTCTAGATCAGGGGTGGGCAATTCCAGTTCCTGGGGGCCGGTATCCTGCAACTTTTAGATGTGCCTTGGGTTCAACGCACCTGAATCAAGTACTCAGATAATTGGGAGGACTCTGCAGGAACCGACTGCATACTGAGGAGGTAACTCAGACATTTGATTCAGGTGTGTTGGACCAAGGATGGATCTAAAAGTTGCAGGATACCGGCCCCCAGGAACTGGAATTGCCCACCCCTGCTCTAGATTATCCTGCCTTCCTTCATCTGCTCGGTTCTGATCTCCTGTTTGTCCTGCAACATCAGGGACTTCAGCGTCTGGGACTCTATGGGCTGCTTCTGCCGGGTCTCGCAAGCAACCGAATGGCTGGAACCAACCTCATCCTCTGGACGCAGACTGAACTTTAAAAACAGGTTAGTGACTCACGCATTCATTATCATCCTCCGTCAGATTGATGAGGTCACTAACCTGTGTTCTCCGCTTCCTGTCTTAGGAACTGCAGAGAACATCTTCATGATGTTCTCTGCAGTTCCGTCTCAAATAAATGTTTTGTTAAATCTAACTCTCTTTCCACATTGAATACTGGGTCCTTTTGTTCTAAGCCTGACAGATTGTTGGTGACATTTCCACATCTATAGCTTTTTGCTTTCTGAGCTCAACATCACCTGCAGTACATCACAGTTCAAATTAACTTGGTTTAAAAAAATCAGGAAAGATTTCTTAACTTACAGCGTTTCCATCTAGATAGGCATTGATGTCTGTCAATTTGAGCACAGATTGCATAATCTGAATATTTAAAGCAACTCATATATATATATATATATATATATATATATATATATACAACAACATGATACCAATAGAACTATTCCACTTATTCTTCTCATTGGAATCAGAACCACTTATAGTAGCCTTACGATTGACTCTCAGAAGTTTGTTTTAGTTTTTCTAAACTGAGGTTGTTGAAATAGCTATCTACTGCAGGTAAGATACTGACTCCTGAATACTTTCACATAGAATCCTACTTTAGAAAAAATGTGAAAAATCCTATTATTTGCTAGGAAGTGCTACATTTTCAACATGGCTGAAAGGTGTTAAACAAAAGTCAAGCTGATGAGTGCAGCTGTTGAGAATCTGTGGTAGCCTACATGGGCTACTATACTATATATCCACCATAAAGATTAAACAAATATTTGTTCCAGTTTACAACTTTTCTCTGCGCTTGAAACTACACGTCCACATTAGTATTTGATTGCAAACAACTTCTGATATTCAGCTAAGCCAAAGAAATCCAACAACTGCTAACTGCAAAGTAAATCAAAAGAAATATTTTACAAAAATAAATAACATACTCTTTATTTCAGATTTCAAAAGTAATTATCTGTCTGAAATGTTTTAATTTCCTCATTTTCATTTTTGGCTGCAGTCACAGGAGCATTTTAAAGAGGATGTAACACAGGAAAGAGTCTGACTGTACAGCTCCTCTGGGTGTGAACATTACAACCGTCACGGCCTTCGTAGCAGCTGTGATCTTTACGACCGCATTGGAAACTTCACTTTATGCTTCCTCTGCCATCGACCCGGCCAGGATCCACAGATAAGGAGCTTCCTCTCTGATAAAGCAGGTCTAGAAAAACAGTGCATCATAAAATCACTCCAGGAAACATCCTACCCATATGAAGAGCTTTGCTAGAAAATATTTAAAGCGCTTAAACTTTTTCCTACCATAACCTTTATTTTATTTTGCATTTGAAGACCAGGAAAACATGGTAGAGTTAAAGGAAAAATATAGAATGATTTCAATTTTCTTACTTATAAAAGTATGGCATTCATATGCATTACCCCCTTTGACACAGATCCACCTAAATACAAATGAGCTTCCCTGAAAAGGCACTTTAAATAGAACCCTCCTGTGTTTGATTCAATCTTGGTACAAATCCAACATCAACATCTGAGAAGGTCTCAGAGGTTTGTTGGGAACCAAGGAACCAGCAGATCAGACTGGAGAATATATTGACAGGATGGTTGGTACAAAAATTCTATTATGAAGAGTGTAAATAAAGCTATTATTGTCAGAAAACCCTCATTACACCACCAGATGTACCATATTCACTTTACTGCAGACAATTCGAAGAAGAAGCTGCTCTAGTCAACATGTAAAATGCTATGTTTGTCAGAGAACAGGCCTTTCACATGAGCCTGAACACATCATCCCCAACCGAACCATGGGGGTGGCAGAATCATTCTGTGGGGTGGCTCTCGTTCAGGAGAAATGGAGCTAAGTGGGGTTAGAAGCTGGGAAAGACAGAGGGACAAACCTCAAACATTCAGCCTAGGAAGCCTGTTCACATGTGAGAATAAAAGGCTGCGCAGAAAAGTTTCTAGATGTGAAAAGAAGGTGGTGAAAGAATGTCAGCTCTAATGCAGCAAAGGTATTGACGTGGGGAGCTTGAAAATATGCAGAATATAAATAAATAAATTGAACATTATTGATCTCACATTGGAGATGCATTTAACCCATCCCCTTGGAGAGCAGTGGGCTGCCATTGTGCGGTGCCTGGGGGGCAGTGTGGGGTTAAGGGTCTTGCTCAGGGACCCAGAGTGTCAGTCTGGGGGAGTGGGTGATCGAACTCCCAATCTCAGGATTCAAAGCCCTATGCCCTATATGTTGCTTTACAGGTCTTTATTTGAAATAAAAAAACACAAAACAAAACACAATTCATTCTTTTTCAATCTATGCCATAAGTTGTGTGTTTATCACATAAAATATATGTAAAAAAGATTGTGGATGAAAATGGATTAAATTAGAAAACCTTCCAGAGAACTGTGTCTAACTGAATGTCAGCTCAACCGCTCTGGAAGTTTTTATTTTTATTTTTATTTTTTTTTTTTAGATCTTTAAGCTTTTATGTTTGCTTCTTCAAGTTAACATAGGGATGGCAGCATATTAAGCTCCATTATTGAGAAAAGCACAATTTCCCTGAACCACAGCAGTCAGTGCTGATAGAGATGAGGTGGGATTGAAATCTAGAGAAGTTACACCATAGAATATTTCTGTATAGCTGCCATTTTTACATTTTATTTTCACAGAAAGTGAAGTAGCAGTTCTGATGGTATGATGATTGTAAGAACTGATGTTCCATAATGTCTGGGTGCTTTTGGGTGTCGGCCCTCAGTCTGTGTGCGAGTGTCGATTGTGGTCTGATGGGTCTGTTCGTTGTCCATCGTTAGATTGATAGCAGCTTCTGTTGTCATGCCACAAGGTCGTCAGTGTTAATGAGGGCCTGCAGCTTGCTAGGGCTTAATTACTCTTAAAACCCTTTATCTCTAATTGCCCAGTGAAGAGCCCAATGAAGCTTTATGCACATCAACAGCAGCAAACTCCCAATACACAACGGCTAAAGTTTGGACCACAGCAGATTTCACACAAACAGAATCACGAAAAACACCTATGCTGAGCTGGAGATGAATTTTCTCCCTGCAGTTTCAAAACAACAGCATAATTAGCTCTGTCTCTGTCACAGCGCCTCTCCTCCTGGCTCTGTCGGCAGCTAGACGCCTAACTCTGGAGGAATGATGGAGAGCTCAAAGGTCAAAGGGCAAACTCAACAGGGAGCAAAGTTTGATCACCAGCAGGACAACACATATGGGCTCAAGGGGCCAAAAGTCACTCGTTTTTTTAAATCCAAACTCAGACATTTGGCTTCTCCAGACAATTTTTCAAGGGCTCTTAATGGATCTCTATAGCTCTCCAATAATATGTCCCTTAAAACTGAAGTAATAAAAACTGTTTAAACTGTTTTTATCCTATTAAACTATCACCCAGAACCTTTTTCAGAGGAGCTGATCATTTATGTTGGTTTTCCTTTAAGACAGTTTAAGAAGATTAGAGTCATAAATGTCAGAAAAACAAGGAAAAGTAAAGTTGTAAATGAACAAGAACCTCTGCAAACATATACACTGCAAAAGGGAACCAAAAGAACATTTTCATTAAAATGTACGTTTTTGCACTTGGTTTGATTAGGTGGGTAAAATGATATACTAATGAAAAAAAGTTTTTCAACTTAAAATTAGAAATACAAATAAATCAAATCCATTATCTTATTTACATATAAATAAATAGCTTATTTTAATGGAAAAAAATCGTGGTTTCATTGGTAGACAATTTTCCTTACCTGCTCTTTGTTTTAAGATAAAGGGACTGGATATATATTTTACTCAAATGAAGACCCAACACACAAAATAAACATTTTCTTATGTTTAGATACATTTTGCAGTATATGATCTTAGACTGCATGATGTGTTTTTGAATATAACTGATCACAGCTTTTCCAGTAGTTTTATCTTTTTCTTTTTTTTCTCATTTCACATCCGAGGAGCCAGACTTTCTCCTAACATTATAAAGTGATCTCAATCAGCATTTCTCCAGGTGTTCTGAAGGTTACACCTGAATTTTTGTATGTTTGGTATGTGCTTGAAAAACAGAAAAGTGGAAAAGTCTATGTCATGTACAAAGTATTGAAAAGCCCTGTTGAAGACATGCTGGGGAAATCCAACAAACATTTCTAAGAGTTTTATCCATTTTCAGTGGATCATCTGCAGTACGCCAAAAGACAAGGCACTGATTATGTTCAGTTCCTGTTTAAGCTGATTTCAATTGGTGGCTCTAAGGCTTCTGTAGAGCCTGTTTGGAGATCTCTCTCTGCTTCTTCTTAACTTGTTGATGTGTCTTCTTCCCTTTATACGCAGTGTCTTCTGGAAGGAATATCATCATAAATAGCATTAGAAGGGTTACAATTTGCTGTGTATTTCTTCGACTGCAGTAGGTGGTGTTTACCCGTGGGGAGTTCTTCCGGCTGGATGCAGACTGAGGCCAGACTGAAGAGGGAGAAGATGACGAAGGCCAAGATGATGAAGGTGAGCTCAAAGCCAGAGAACGGCACTTCCATCTACACAGCTGCTCACAGAAAGCATGAGGTTAGACCTACAAAATGAATATGCAGAATGATAAAAGTCAAATCTTAACATAACTATATTAATGGTTTTTAAACATGTGTGGATATTTAGAAAACTCATATATTCTTTAAGAAATATTAGGAAATTACTTTCTTAAAAAAAAAAAAAATTAACAATCCATGTTTTTTTAGTTGCACAAATTTCAAAACAGTCCAAAGATAAAGTTTTATTATGTTGTAATAACCCTGTAAAATAACTATCATTTCAGGTTGTTTCTGTTCAGTGAATAAAAATAACTTCATTTTTTTTTATACAAAGACAGCTGAGTGGAACGAGATCCTTACTTTCTGTTGCTTTAGAAAGAGTCTGAAGTTACTTCTTACATGTAATCATCGACTTTTTTGGGGCAGATCTTCATTAAACTACAAGTCAAAAGTTAAGGCACAGCTTTCTCACTCTGTAGATTTTCTATATTTTTATTCATTTGTACATTGTAGAGAACGAGAGCATCATTTCTGTGATGCAAATGCTTATAGATCTTCGTTGTAAACAGAAATTTGTAAAACAAACCAGAAGATACTTTATATTCCAGTTTATATCTATTTATCCCCTTTTTGGGGGGGCTTTAAAATTTCTTGGCATTAATAAGCTTCACCTAAAATTATTTTAAGTGTTGGAGAAATTCCCAGTGGCAGCAGTAAATCTAAGCTATAATAAAAACAAAAAAAAAATGTGTATCCAAACTTCTGACTGATTCTCTATGAACCTTTAAGAGCATATTTAGTCAGAGCATATTTAGGGTTCCTCACCTCTGATATGGCATATATTTATAATGCACCAACTTTCAAATCTTCACACCTATTAATTAGCAATCAGCTTTACTAAAGACCTTTTTTGCTTTTAAAAAAAAGGAAATTATTTGTTTTAATTTAAGGTTGATCTGGCCTTATCTTAAAAACGTTTCAAATGATCAAATCTTTTATAACAACATTTTATTACATTGTTTCTTAATAAAGTTTGGGTACTCTTAACTGTCTGGTTTCAATAATTTTACAATTTAATGTTTTTCTTATTGTGTGTGTGGTGCTTTACGTATTTAGTGATCTGCATGTGAGAAAACTATAGAGCTATGGGCAAACATTTGCAGTAACACAATAATTATGCTCTATGACATAAACGTTTGAGATTTTTATCAAATAAATACATCAAATTAAAGCCTAGTTATTAGAGTAGGAAATAAGAAAAGTCATAGATTTTTTAAAAACAGACCTAAAGATTTACTTTACTTTGCACTTTAAAAATGAAAATGTCTTGAGAGCTGTACTAAAAAAATATTTTTGTATACACTCCATGTGTACAAAATTACAATAAAGTCTGTCTAAGTCTAAGGTACTGTAGCTGAATAGATTTAACTCTGCAGCTTCCGCGTGTTCCACTTTTTAAAATGGATTTATAAAAGATGTTAAACTGCTACATTTTTAAAATGTATTATTGGTTTGTGTATAAGCAGAGAAGAGTAATGATTTCTTTATTAATTGTGATATGTTACACTTATCTGAGGGGTGTCCAAAATATTGATGCACAGATCACGGACCCACCTCTTATAAATAGTTCTCCAGCGAGCTGTAAAAAAAACCGATCATCACCAAATACGTTTTAAACCTATACATATTTTTTTATGAAAGGTGTCTTGGCCAAAAATCCACCACCTTGGAGGAGAACCTACTAAGAACATGGAATAGATCTGGATGTATCACACGTTGCTCCACATTAGACTGGATTTCCAAATTAATCAGAGTTGAAATGAGTCATCCTCAGACAAAATTATTTTTGCACCAGTCTTCTGCTTTGATCATTGTTCTCCCTGCAGAATATCAGCCTGTTCTTGTTTTTCCATCACAGAAGTGCCTCCTTTTCTGTCTGTCTTCTCCCAAGACTGTGAAGATGTGTTTATACCCAACTGCTACTAATGCTAACCAACTTCACACTATCAGCAACGATATTCTGTAGCTCACTCTGTAGGAGGAGATAGTCCAGGATTTCTTAAAGCTGCTCTCCTTAAGGCAAACTCTTTGAATTTAAAGTCCTTGATCATCTGGAAAAAATCTCTTTGAACTATATTATCTTGCAGTGATTTCTGCACTGCATGCTTCTCCTCAGAGGTAAATGCCCAAACAAAAGCACTATGTGTGTCCATTTTATACAACAATTAGTTTTTAAATGAAATTCCTGAAATGATTACTGCTGGACCCATTTTATTATATGATATACCGGTATACTGATATGAGGTGATGGTGTCTGTCAATTTTTACTTTGCAGAAAGAACTATATGTTGTTTATAGTTGATTGCTATTAAATGAATAAAGCTCTTTAGGATTAATAAAATGTATTTAAAGGGTTAAAACGATATGAACTTTCTTTAGAGAACTTGAATCTGTGTGAAAACATTTGGATTTTGTCCTGTACATTACAGTAAATGATTTTTAGAACGCAATATCCCTTTTCCCCACCAGATGGCGTAGAAGATTTTTTTTTCCTGCCATCTGCTCAATATCTAATTGCAGAAACCTGCACAACGTTTACACTGCAGAAATAATAGTTCCTGACATGAAAAGACAAGATTTTATAATCATTTAAACTGTTTATCTAAATCTGAACACAGAATTAGTTCAAATGGTAAATATTTATATAAAAGTTCCTAAATATGTTAATGTGGTGGTGTGACTGAGCTGTCGCTGAAGCCTGAGGAGATAAACCTGCATTGATGAAATGGTGCTAAAAGAGAAGAAGCATGTGAAGTCACACAAGCAGTGAACATGTTCAGTAGACTTCAGTGAGAAAGTCTTTACAATCTAAATCTTCAGCCACAATGCCTCCATTTCCCAGAGTTTGATAAAAAGGTCTTTAATGTTTACCACTGACTTTGTAATATGCTGCCTTATATACATCTAAATGAAACATCAAACTTTATATAAAGAGAATTCATAAGCTGAAATCATATAAAACCAAAGAGCTCTAATAAACATTTTAACCTTTTACTGATTCTACTTGTTAAGATAGTGTTGATAAGTATAATTCGTTTTAACAGGGAAGTTTCAGCCCTGAAGTCAGTCACATATTTTATTTGCAACAGTAAATTCTCTTTGAAAACAGGTTTTACTCTTTAATCGCTAATTAAACTGAGTCAAGTCTCCACAATAACTTGACAGCAAACTGATCCGACCAGCATACCTTTTCCTTCTTCAGAGATCACAGGCACTTTAGATAAATAAGAAAGATTAGTTTGCTGTTGTCAGACTTACTGAAAGAAGTACGCAGGCTGTTTTCTAGATTCAGATTCCACAAAGGAAGAATTTCTTGTTCTCTCTTGATATCCGAAAGCCAAGCAGGCGAGGCTGTCATGAGCCACTCTGTTGGAGCAGGTGTCTTTCTGTCGCTTGTTTTTAGTTGCACAATGTACCACTCCTTTGTGGCTCATCCTGGAAGCAAGTTATACCAGGTCCTCAAACAAAGCATGCGCAAATACATGTTCAGAGGTCAGCCTGGTGAACTATGTTTTATGAACTGATAAAAAACTTCTGGCTACACACCAGGATGCAGTAAAGTTTCTCCAACAAAGTGCTTATTAGCAGAAAGGATTACTGAGTCACACTAATATCTCTTGGCTTTGGGGTTTTCCATTTGTTTCTACAAAAAAGAGAAAAGAAATTGGCAATTTTATGTCTTCTTTATAAAAAAAATAAAATATGTAAAATCAATTTAAAAAAGAGAAAATACAAAACATCTAGCAGCATAACAAAACAATCCATGCTACATTTTACATCAGAGTACATTTGAGGATCCGAAAGCTAAATTTTGTATATCGGTCTTTTAAACATTTTGAATACAAAAATTCATTTTGAATCTACTTTCCTAATGACATTAAGGTTATAGACTGTTTTGTGTCATTTCACAAAAAATACAAGGTGGATCTTGACAAGAAATGTCATTACTTGGCTACCAATGTAACAGAGCTAAGACCTTATTCCTGCACAATAAATATGTTTTCTATGAGTAAGAGCTAGCTATATACAGGGTATGAGTATATATACATATATATATATATATTTAACTTTTATATTCCATTTCTATTGTTTTCAGACTTTCAACTCCACCGAGCATGGTTTCAGGTCGATTTCCGGGGCTGTATTTTAAATTCATCCCTTGCCAGCTGCTCAGCTTTATCTGGACCCAACCTCAACCTCTCTCCTTGTTGGTAATGGGCCCCTGTGGAAGGGCCCTTCTGTTGCCTTTCCCGGTTTTGTCACACTGGGAAAATTCTACCTACTACTACAGAAAATATATCTCTGCTGCTCCTGGTGTGACTCCTTCCCTGGGACCATTTGCCTTTGCAGATTTTCCAGACATCATAACCCTCAGACTTAATGGGATACTTAAACCTCTGCTACTTGTCAGCATGGAGATTCTATGGAGAAGGAGGTCTCACTTCTAAAATCTAGACTGGTCCCTTCAAGGTTTTGGGTTGGAGTATATCGATGTCTTGATCACTAGCCATTGTAGGATAGAGCAGTTTTTTGTAAAGATCTTAATTAACTAGCCTGTCTACATTCCAACTTACCTGTGTGAGTCATATGATATGTATCATAACAGAAAGAATGACACCCAGGATAAAAGTGTTGGACATGAGCGGCTGTTGGGCAGCTGGGCGTACGGTAATAGGGTGCATCGCTCATCTAACACATAAGGATGGAGCAAGGGCATAGGCCTGATTTCACCTTTGGTAGGAACACTATTGGTCTTTAGTTTTATTGGTCTGAGATCATTGGTGCATGCATTTTTTTAATGCTTAAAGTGAGCATATCATTTAAAGAGAAAAGCAGCATTTCTTGCTAGATTTATACAAATTTTATAAGCACTTTACACACTAGATGCTGTTTATCAATGTTTGAAGCATCACATTCATCTGATGAATGTGGAATTAGGACTTTTTTCCTCTTTGAAAAGGTTTGCATTGAAGGTAAATACGTGTCTATTTACCCAAATATAGTCTAAATATGTTATATGTGGATTTATCCAGTATTTTCTTTTGAAGATACAGAATTGTGCAGAGGTAAACAGAGGTAGAACCCACTCTTTGATACAAAGCAAAACGAGTTAAAGGGACCATTTGATGTATTCTATCTAGGGCTCAAACAATGAATCAGATTAATCATGATAAATCGATTAATGAAATAATCGTCAACAAGTTTAGCAATTGATTAATTGTTAATTGAATTATAGAGACTCTAAAAGATGCCATAAGCTGACAGAGCAAACCACTTAAAACAGTTATTATATCAAAATTGTAAAAAAAAAAAATTATATAAACATTTTGCAATTTAGATAAAAAAATTATTTGCCTGTCAATATTCTCCATCCAGAACAAGGAAAAGTTTCTGTTTTACCTGCTTTGAATTTTGTAAAAAATCTTCTTTATGGAACCTTTTGCTATCAGATCGACCTGTCCAAGGTGGTTGTGATCGTATGGCAGGCCGTTTTGATTGTCTCACCCGTAGACAGCTGGAGACATCGTGACTCCGATTGGGTTACGCATGAAGGAAGATGGATGGATGGATGGATGACTATCTGATTATTGATTATTAAATTATTCGTCGAAAAAAGGATTGACAGATTATTCGATTTGCAAAATAATCATTTGTCTAAAGTGGAGATAACATTCAACCAAACATATACGTTAATCAGGCAAACTATGCTAAAATTCATGTTGCATCATTTGTGAGCTCCAACAGAGATCACTGAATCCAATAACTGAACAAAATTAAACTCTCACCTGAAGCCACTTCTCTAACTCCCTGTGCTGTAGCATCACCCTTCATTGTTTGAGTTCCCTAAATTTAGCCATATAAAACACACATTTATTTTTATGTTGTATATAAATAAAAAAAAACTTAATTTATTATTGAAATCATTTAGACATCACCTGAAGCACTGAAAGTCCAGCTGCTTCACCTTCAAGCTGCCCTGCATCATTATTACTGGATATCTATGTTTCCTAATATTAAAGGATTAAATGAAACACAAACATTTACATCATCCAATGTTACTTACTGTCTGACTGTTAAAAAGCTCCTTATGTCTATTTTCTTTTTTTAGTGGCATCATCTACAATGCACAACATTAAGAATGAGGCTAACTTTATTCAGACATAACATCACTTTTACAATTATAAACGAAAATATAACACTATCTTATCTGTAATGTAATAATATCCAAAATAAACAGCCAGATTCAAGCATTTTTACCAGGCACTAATGTTTACTAATTTAGTCAAATTAGATCCACATAATTTTGATGCAACAGCATCCACCCAATCAAATTGCAATCAGTAAAAATTAACATTCAAACAATTCAGCAGTTAGGTAGAAAATTATCAAGAACTCCAATCTCCTGCTTTTAGTTCTGTTCGGAGGTACTTCAGAGTGGGGTATGGTCTGCCAACTCTGGCCAGCTCTAGCTCACTCTGCCAGGGGTTCTTGCTTTGATCCCCTGCTGCTCCTGACTAAACACCCAAGATGCTTGGGAGAATGGATGCCAGGTAGTTATCCAGGGTGGTGTATGGTCAACCAAATCTGCCACACACTGCTCTGAAACACTCTCTGCCGGGGGTTTGAAAGAGGATAGCGGTAGATCAGAGCCAGATGCCTGGCAGTGCATCAGAGCTGGGCAGATGCGGTGGGTGGCTGGAATGGGTATGCCGAATGTTGGGTAGAGTGCAGCAGAGCAGAGGATAACTTAATGCTACGTTCACACCAAATGCATTATGAGCAGCAAATAAAGCATCTGCTTATGTGATATGAGGGGGTCTGTTGCAGACCCTTCATATGTGTTTTGTGGCCATCAAAATGCTTCACTGTTCAAAGAGTTGAGTAAACGCATTTGCATTTGTCACAATCTGGCACATTTGGAGAGGTTTGGAGAGACTGGTGACACCAAAAGTTCAAAGCCCCACAGCTCTGGAACTGTGCAAGTAGATAGCTGAAAATGTATTCATTTGTGGTTGACTTGATGTATTAATGTAATACAAATAAGACATGCCTGTTCTCAAGTATGTCTTTATTATTGCTGTTAAAAAAAATACTTATTTTCGAGAAGAAAAAAAAAACAACTTTGAGTCATATTTTAACTAATGTAGCTTAGGCTGTGTTTTACTCACACTGTTTTCTTTTATATTTTCAGAAACTGGAAGGTGTTAGCTTACAAATGATGTATCACACATGTAATGTAGGCTTACAGTTCCCCAGTTATTTGCTTTTCCATTTGGGTATGCAAAATAGGTGAGGATTACTTCAAATCTGGTGGGTGATAAAAGAAAAAATATTATTTTCTAAAGCAGAAGGCATTTCTAGGTTAAGCTATGCTGCTCTTGCATTAAATGTCGATAACTCTACCTTTTAATCGATTGATAAAATGCACTGCCAATTTATATGGAAAAACAAAACCCACTATATTGAGAACTCTGATTATCCTTTTACAGTAAGCTCTGGAGGTCCTAATTTCCTAGACATCTTGTGCCTAAACTATGCTTATAAAATTAACGGGATCGGGAAGTTTGTTTTGAACCCAGACTGTTTGTGGAATTATATTATCTCCTTAATATTTACTTCAACTATTAAAAAAGACCCTAAAACTACCGTATTATCACAAACGAGTGCTCTTAGTATGGACACTGATGTACAATCATTCCTTTTCTCCTATAATGTGAACATGAAAAAAAAAAAATACATATATATATATATATATATATATATATATATATATATATATATATATATATATCGTATTACTAATGAACTGAAAACATTAAATCCATGTTTGTAACTTCCACTAAAATTGGAAAAAAAAAAAAAAAAAAAAAAAAGTTTCTCA